GCTTTGAGGTCTCCTATGCTCAAGCTACTCCCAATGAGACAATCTACTTCTTGTTGCCTGTGGGCCACGTAGCAGCTCCTTATCTAGCACCAAGTCTGCCTGCATAGCACCAAGCTCCCCACCATATGGCAATAGACTAATCCTCTGAACTGCAAGCTGCCACCCCAATTAAATGTTTCTTTATAAAAGTTGTGGTCATGCTGTCTCTTCACAGCAATAGAAACCTTAACTAAGACACAAACATTAGGTAAAAGACTCAAAGGGACATGTAGAAGAGAAATACTCAGAATGCAGACTAAGCTCAGAGTCCAGACAAGCCATTCATGAAAGGAAACACTGGCAAAGCAGGTGCAGATGGTGAAAAAAAAAAACGAATCAAAACCATCTCCGAAATACACTTGAAGAGGGGAAATGGCGTTGTGCATGACTGTGACGGTGAAAACTGTCAGGGCTCCAGAGAAGGCTCTGTGGCTGAGAGCACCTGCTGTTCTTGGTTCCCACCTCACAACCATCTGTGGGCACAGATACACACATTGAGGCAAAATACTCACAAAATAAATCTGAAGAAATAACAGAAGAAAAGGTAAAAGATTGACTGTCAACTTGACAGGATCTAGAATCATCTACAAGATAAAGCTCCAGTCAAGTCTGTGAGAAAGGCAAGCTGTTAGGTAGGTGGGTCTGTGAGGTGATGTCTTGGTCAGGTTAATAGACAGGAGCCTCCACCCTGAATGTGGGCAGCACGGATTCCAGGAGTTGAGGACCTCAACAAAATAAAATGGAGAGAGAGGACTGGTCTTCAGCATTCATCCCTCAGCTTTCTGACTGATGCCATGTGACAAGTCTGCTCATCACTGTCCCTTTCCTGCCGTGCTGAAATGAACCAGCCCCCAACTGCAAGCCCAAAGAAAGTCTTTCCTCCGTAAGTTGCTTTTGTTGGGTCCTTCATTACAGCTGTAAGGAGAGTAACCAATGAAGTGTTTGCATGGTGCACATTCAGCAGAGGGCTGAGCCTAGGACATCCAGAGAGAACTCTTGTGATGGTTTGAGTGAGAAGGGTCCACATAGGCTCACATGCTTGAATACTTGGTCCCCAGTTGGTGGAACTGTTTGGGAAGTAACCCGTCCAGCAGGTCCAGTTATTCAGGGTCTGAAGAGGTTCTACCTGTATGAATCATGGGCGAGAGAAAAGAAAGAGACCAAGCAAAATTCACTTGTCGAGGTCTCTGTTTATTAGGGTAATGGTTGCAGCTTATATAGCCCTTGAAGGAGGAACTTGGCTTGGGGTGGGGGGTAGGGGTAAGAAGGAACTTTGCCAGGGTAGCAAAGGTCACCAGTCAGCACACCTAGTGTAAGCAGAAACATTCTTTTTGTGATTCTGTTAACAAACAGTTCTCAAGATAGTTGGGATGTGGGGCTCTCTGCAAACATCCTTAGGACAATGGTCCCTGCTATCATCTTTAGGACAATGGTCCCTGATAAGGAAGGATTAGAGATTCAGCCTTGTTGGAGTGGGTGTAGCCTTGTTGGAGGAGGTGTGTCGTTGAGGGTGGACTTTAGTTTTTTGTTTGTTTGGTTAGTTTTTTTTGTTTGTTTTTCGAGACAGGGTTTCTCTGTAGCTTTGGAGCCTGTCCTGTAAGCAGCTCTTGTAGATCAGGCTGGCCTCAAACTCACAGAGATCTGCCTGCCTCTGCCTCTGGAGTGCTGGGATTAAAGGCACCTGGCACCACTGCCTGACTGGCTTTGGGGTTTCGAACACCCACTTCAAACTGAGTCATTTCTGTAAGTGTACAAATCATGTTAGTTCTCAGCTACTGTCCCAATGCCACGCCTCCTGCCTACTATCTGCCCGCCTCCCGCCACACTCCCTACAATGATGACCATGGACTAGCTCTCTGGAACTATAAGCAAGCCCCAATTTAAATACTTTTTATGAAAGTTGTCTTGGTCATGGTGTCTTCTCACAGCAGTAGAAGAGTACCTAAGACAACTCTCAAAATTGAACGAAAAAAAAAATTCCAAAATGAGCAAAAGATGTGAACAGGTATTTCACAGAAGAGGATTGCCAATGTCATTGGTTATTAGGCATATGTCAATCAAATTGCAGTAAAATACTATTGCATGTCTACAGAGCTCAAATACCATTGCTTATCTAGGAAGCTAAAGTACTATTGCATGTCTATTAAGCTAAAATACTATTTTAGGTCTACAAAGCTAAAATACTATTGTATATCTATGAAGCAAAAATACTATTGTAAGTCTATGAAGTGAAAATGCTATTGCATATCTATGAAACTGGAACTAGGCCACTGTGAAAGGCGCTTGCTATAAAGTCTGACGACTTGCATTTAATACCAGGAACACACCTAAAGGCTGAAGGAGAGAACTGTTTCCACAAAGCTGTCCTGACCTCCACATGTGTGCTGTAACATACACGTACTCACACACTCATTATACACAGAACAAGGAGAAGGAAGAAAAGAATTTGTTGCTTAAAATAAAAAAAAGAAAATGTGAAATTAAATTAGGGGCGGTGTGGGATACAGTTGAAGAAATCCTTACCTCACATTCCAGACACCCGGAGTCAGATGGCAACACCACCTAAACCAGGCTTGATGACGTGTGCAGCTAATCCCAACACTTGGAACCTGGACGCAGGGGGATTGAAAGTTCAAGGTCAGCCTTGGTTATGTAACAAGTTCTAGCTCAGTTTGGTCTACATCGGATCCTGTCTCATAAATAAATGAAGACACGTGAGAACAGTGGCAATAGGAGGCCGTCTGTGCAGCTTAGTGGTGAGCGCTTGCTTTGTGTGTACAAGGCCCTGGCTTTAGTCTTCAGCATAACCCCCACCCCCGAAAATAAAAATTCTTAAAAAAATAAAAAAGAGTGGCAACGTGAAATTCTGGTTAGAATGTATCGCTTACATATTCAGTAAACTTCGAAAATACCATTAGCTGTTAATATGTTGATTAAAAGCTCCAGCTAGCTGAAACAGGAAGTCACAATTAGTTTTCTGCTGATCCTGTCAGCTAAGTCAGGAGACAATAAAGTAAAGGCTCCCTCCCCCACCCCTTTCCTCTACCAAGCTTACGAGCAAGTAGAAAAGACTGCTTAAGTATCCAGGAAATACCTCAAAAGATGAAGACACCAGCTTTTTAAAATGTGCAGAATTCATCTGGGGAAAGAGCACAGTATCTAGGTCATAGGTCGTGGAGGTGTGGCCAAGAAGAATGGGGATTTCTCCACTGTGAACTTGACAAGCCTCTGGGGTTGGGAATGGGGGAAGGCAGCCTTTGTAGCAAATCAGGAAAGCTGACCCCCAAACTCCAGCCCGTCAGAGATCTGCAGAAAGTGAGAGCCCATCACTCAATTTCTATGTATCAATTAAAATTCCATAATTTCCCAAGTCTTACAAAAATGTGTGCACACACATGTAACACACACTGCAAGCCGTCTGTACACATCAGCTCTGCACACGCGCTCCTTCCTGTGTGCAGCAATGGCTACAGTGAATTGATTCTCATCCTTGCCTACAGCAGCCGAGAGTGCTGGGCATTGGCTCAGAGCACCGTGTCCCTGCCCATCATTCCTTCTTCTGTTCCTTCCTTGCAAGAGAATCCTGATGGTTTCTGTGCCCCGCGTGAGCCCAGGAGACCTGGAAGAAAGAGAATGGGAGGGCACGCAAGGGTGTCCCTCAACTAACAGAGTGCTTGCCTGGTATTCATGGAACCCTGGGTTCCATCCTAAGCACCAGAAGCCGGGCATGGTGGAACAGAGCCTGCAACATCAGTACTCACAAGTTAGAGGGAGGAGGATTCTTGGCTACACAGCAAGTTAGAGGCCAGCCTGGGAGAGGTCTATGAGATATTGTCTTAAAAAAAAGAAAGAAAGAAAGAAGCCGGGCAGTGGTGGCGCACACCTTTAATCCCAGCACTCCAGAGGCAGAGGCAGGCAGATCTCTGTGAGTACAAGGCCAGCCTGTTCTACAGAGCTAGTTCCAGGGCTGTCTCCCTAGCTACTGAGAAACCCTGTCTTAAAAAAACCAAAATTAATTAATTAACTAATTAATAATAAAAGCCAGAATGAGTTGTTCCTCTCACAGTCTCCTCCCTGTGATCCTGGCACAGTGGGGTGGCTTTTCAGATGTGCCCCTTCCTGGCTTGGTGGGATAGCTTCCCAGCTGTTCCCTTCTGAAATAACTTCTCTGTCGAGTCTTCTGTGGTGCTCTTGCCTGGGGCCAGATAGACAAATTTTCCAGGCATTTTCTTCTGTTTTCCTGCCCGTCCTGTCGTGTGCCAGCTGCATCCCTGACTGCTTTCCGGTTTTACTCTGTTCTCACTGGGGCACAGGCCTCCAGTGGTCCCTTCTCTGATTTCTGACTTGTGAAAACATAAGCAAAGATGTCCTTATGGTACTGTGGGTAACACACACTTCATGCCTTGTTTTTGTTTTTTTTTTTCCAAAGGCAAACTATTGATTTAATTTGCTTTTGTGAAAATCCCTAGGTTGGGGGACATAGTTCAGTACATACAGTGTCTGCCTAGTATGCAAAGAACACTGTGTTGAGTTCACAGCACTGCACAAACCCAGACAAACTGCAGATGTCTGTAATCCCAGCACTTGGGAGGGGGAGGGCAGGAGGGTCAGGGATTCAAGCCCATTCTCATCTATATTTCAGGTTTGAGGCCAGCCTGAACTACGTGGAAAAATTTTTCAGATACATTTGACTTACCAAATTTAAACTAAGATACATAATTTAGATAGATCTATAACAGTCAGTGAGATTGAAGAAGTAATAATAATAATAATAATAAATCTCCCAACTCAAGATTCACTAAGATTCCCTCCTGATTTCTACCAGACAGTAAAGACCCAACATGACGACTGCTATGCATTTCTTAAGAGGAGCCTCTCTACCGACACAAATAATTCCAATCAGACCAAATTAGACCGAATAAAAGATGCCCACGTTTAATGCAGCGCTCCTGGGTGGCCCGAGAAAGCATGGCAAGGGAAAGAGATGGGGAAACCACGCAAAACACGGAGACCAAGTGTTCCTTTTCTGGGTGGCAGCCTAAATAGTCTGTCCGAGTGGTCCTGACCATCCCTGGGGAGGGATCAATGCTTGGCAGGCTTTCCCGGACGTGGAGTCCCGACCAAGGCGACTCCCAGGGGAAGGGGCTTGAAATGGACCATCCTGCTTTATTCCTGCTTCATTGGCGCTCCAAGGGTGGGTGCAAGGAGCTGAGGTGATGCTTCCACCCCAAACAACGGCTTCTCAAATTAGTCCATAAGATGAGAAGGAAGACGTCAGACTCTACTGAATGCTCCCGAACCATCAACACAGATACAAAATTCTGGCAGCTGAGAAGGGCACTGGCTCCTTCCAGAGGAGCAGGATTTCATTCCCAGCACCCACAAGGCACTCAAAACCACCGGAAACTCCTCTTCTCAGAGTGGATCTGGCGCCCTCTTCTGAACTCTGCAAAGACATGCATGCTGGCAAAAACCCACATACAGGAACAAAAATAAAGTAAATCTTTTTTTTTTTAATTCTCAAAAAAAAAATAACCAATCAGACAAACAAACAAAAACTTGCAAAGAGAATTCAGGAACACATCAAAAAGATCAACATGGTCAAGTGGTCTTTTTTTTTTCCCTCCAGAGATGCAGGTATGGTTCAACATACATAAATCAATGAATGCAATTTATCACATACATTTCTTAAAACAGAAATCACATGGACATCTCAATAGATGAAGAAAGGCTTTTGACAGACTATAGCATGCCTCCTTGATAAAATGCCTGAAGAAGGTAGGACTAGAAGGAATGCATGTCAGTATAATGAAGGTTTTACACTAGAAACCTACAGCCAATATTATCCTAAATGGGGAAAACCTCAAAGCAGTCCACTAATGTCAGGAACAAGCTGAGGTGTCTACTCTCTCCTCCTGCATTCAACAAGGTGCTTGACATCTTGGCTAGAACAATACATCAGGAGAAGGAAAGGAAAGTGATAGAAAGGAATGAGATAGAAAGGGAAGGTGGTGAGCTCCTCTATGTAGAGACTCTCAGAATCCAATCAGGAAACTCTTAGTTTGGAGAAACACAAAAGTGGAAAGGACAGAGTCAACATACAAAGAAAATCAGTATATGGGGGCCAGAGAGATGGCTCAGTTCTTAACACTGGCTATTCTTCCAGAGGACACGGGTTCAATTCCCAGCACCCACAGGACAGCTCACAGCCAGCTGTCTGTAATTCCAGTTCCAGGGGATCTGACATTGTCACAAAAACACACATGCAGGAAAAACACCAGTGCACATAAAAATAAACAAAAATTTTAAAATCCGCATATGATAAGAAAGAGATCAAGGAATCCCATTCACAATTGCCTCAAAACATAAATCAATAAAAACAAAATACCTTGAAATAAACTTACCAAGAAAGTGAAAGACCTTTTAAAGTAAAACACCAAAGTAAGAAGACGAAGGTGGCACTAGGAAGTAGAAAATGTCCATGCTTGTGGACTGTAAAAGTCAATATTGGAAAAATGTCCATCCTACCACAAATAATCTACAGACTCAATACAACTGCCATCAAAAAGCTAATGTCATTCTTCAAACAAATAGAAAAACACTTAAAATTCATAAGAACACAAAAGGCTCTAAATACCCTCCCCAATCCAGTCTCGAATAAAAACAATAGCACCAGAGGCATCACTGTACCTGATTTCAAGTCATTCTCTAGATCCACAGGGACAGTACGACACCAACACAAAGACCTCCGGATACAAGTGGCCCACTAGAGGAGCCACGCACAAACCTGTGCAGGCACATAATTTTTATCAAAATTTCAGAAATTGCTGGACACAGTGGCATGAATCTTTAATCCCAGAACTTGGGAAGGCAGAGGCAGGCAGATCTCTGAGTCTGAAGTCAGTCAAGTCTACGTAGAGAATTACAGACCAGCTAATCCCACATTGGCTGGCACTCCGTTGTTAAAAAGAAAGAACAAGAGAGTAAGAGAGAGAGAGATTGTCTAACTCTGGAAATATACATTGGAGACAAGACAGTTTCTTCAACAAATGGTGCTAGGAAAACCGGATGACTGCGTGGAGAAGAAAGACACTAGAGCCCTGTGTCACAACCTGCACAAAAACCCATGACAAATCGGTCAATGTCATTACTGTAAGACCCCAAACTCGGAAACTGCTCGTGGAAAAACAGAGAAAACACTGTACGATATAGGCACATGTTTCCTGGTTGTTCAGGAAGTAAGGCCAGCTGGTGCAGGAGAATTGTCTGTATTCTGTCAATCATGTTTTAAATAAATGCTGATAAATGGGACCCTTGAAGCTAAAGAAACCTTTTCATGACAAAGGAGGGACACAGTTGAGTGAAGGGACAGAAAAAGCGAAAATCTTCTCTACCGGTGTATTCTACAGTGGATTAATATCTTGAATATACAAAGAGCTTAAAAAACTAAACAAGAAATCAAATCACCCAATCAATATATGGCCTAAGAAAGTAAATCGACTTCAAGAGATGAGATACCATTGTCCTATAAATGCATGAAAAGTTCCCAACTTCACAGCCACCAGAGAAGCACAAATTAAAACTCTACTGAGATTCTCTCTTACCCAAGTCAGAATGGCAGGGGTTAAGGAAGCCAACAAAAGTGGATGGCGAGGATGTGGACAAGAGGAACTTTTACACACTGCTGCTGGGAACGAAGATGAGTCTGGCAATGATGGAAAACAGAATGGAGGTTCCTCAAAAACTAAAATTAGACCTACCATATGATGCACTACTCCCCTGCCGGGCACTTACCAAAAGATGCCCAAGTGACAGAACACAGAGATACGTGCTCACTGGTGCTCTCTGCAGCACTGTCAAGAACTGCAGACTCATGCAGCCAGCCTGTGTCCAATGACAGTGGAAATGGTAAAAAACAGAACTGGGTGGTGTACACAATGGAATGTTCTTCAAAGTGAAGGATGAAGTTCTATCATTTACAGAAAATGAAACAGCTACAGATAATCCTAACTGTGGGCCAATTAAATCAGTCTCAGAAAAACAAATAGCATATTCTCTCAATTGTTGTCCTGGTTTTTGTATAAATACAAAAAGCATGTATGCACACACAGCAAAAAAAAAAACGCAGAAGTGAAACTGTGCAGGATAAAGGAACTAACAAGAGAAGAGAGGAAGAAAACGGGGGAACTGGGGAGGAAGAGGTACACTCCATACCCAAAGAGTACTTGTACAAAATGTCTTTAAGCCATGCACAATAAATATACAAAATGGAATTGTTTAAAATTCAAAAAAGAATTAACAATTAAAACTAGCCAAGTATGGTGGCGCACGCCTTTAATTGTAGCACTTGGCAGGCAGAGGCAGGTGGATATCTATGAGTTTAAGGCCAGCCTGATCTACAACCTAGGACAGATAGGGTAAAGGAGTGAGACTCACACCAGGAAGTAGTGGCACACACCTTTAATCCCAGCAGGTAGGAGGTAGATCTCAGTGAGTTTGAGGTCAGCATGGTCTACAGAGCGAGTTCCAGGATCAGTTTCCAAAACAGCACAGAGAAACCCCCTTTTCAGGAGGGGAAAAAATAGTGAGACTCTGTTTCAAAATAAAACAGGAGTAAGAGAGACAAGATTTCTGGAAAATGAAGTTTCCAGAGCAATCAAGGCAAGTGATGTCCAGAAAGTAAGAAAGAATGAGGTTGTAGGTAGGGCCAGCCATGTAGAGAGTTTATCCAGCACACAGGGCCCTGGGCTTGATCCCAAATGTTAACAGAGGGAAAAAGGAAATTTAATTCCAGGTTATCAATGTGACCTAAGATCACAGGGCAGAAAGAAAGGCAGACAGAGAGGAAATCAGAGAGAACACTCCAGCACAGTGCAGTCCCTTACAGCACCATCAGAGTTCTGATGAGCGGATGGATATAAGGGGAAACCAGCCATGTCCTAGGAAGAACAACCAGAGAGTCACAGGACGGAACTTATTGAGTGGCTCCTACGTACCAGGTACATTAGCACACACACACCAGATCTCCACAGTCACCTGCAGTGCAGGTGACATCTTCACCTCTCAGAAAGGAAACTGGGGATCTCTGTGGAAACATGTTTTCCAGTCAACATCTGCATCAGGATTGAAGGTTCACTCTTCTGACCCAGAACGCGGATGTCTTTTACAGACCACGGCGCTGTGTCCTTACAACAGAGCCTGCGATTGGCAAACTAAAGACCAAAAGAAATGAGAAGACAGCCACAGACATGGCTTGGAAGATTTAGTATACAGAGGCCTGCATGACTCAAAACAATACACAGAGTCGGTGGCGTCCCTGTGAAAACCCTACAAGCATGCAGTCCACACTCAAGGTGTTAGTTCCCTTTCTGCTGTTAGGACAAAAACGCAGCTCCTTACAAAAAGCAAGACCTTATTTGTCTTGTGGCTCCAGTGGGATAAGAACCTGGTGGAGGGCAAAGGCATGGCAGCAAGCAGCAGACACGGTGGCTGGAGCAGAAGCTCTGGGCTCGCGTCTGGAACTCCAAGCATCTCGAGAGAGCACGCTAAATGGGCATGTGGCTGTGAAACCTCAAGTAACACACTTCCTCCCGTGAGATCACATCTTCTAAATCTCCCCCAAACAGTGCCACCAATGGGGACCAAGGATTTAAACATCTGAGCCTATGGGAGCTATTCTCAGCCAAACCACCATACCCAGTAAAACCCGATCCATGATTTTTTTTTCCTCTCTGACATTCGGGATCAAACCCACAGTCTTTTGCATGCCAGGCAAGACCTCTACCCATGAGCTACAGCTTAGCGCATCTCAAAACTGTTCTGACAAAGAAAAACAAACCTGGAGACCTGATGCGCCCTGCTTTTAAAGGGTATTACCTACAAAGTTACAGTAAATAGACCGCTGTGGTATTGGCACAGAAGCAGGCACACTGCCACACAGTGGAGAACACAGAAACAAACCCACGCGTGTACAACCAACTGATCTTCTAAGAACACAGAGTGAAGGAAAAGCAGGCACACCGCACACACAGTGGAGAACACAGAAACAAACCCACGCGTGTACAACCACCTGATCTTCCAAGAACACAGAGTGAAGGAAAAGGTAATTTCTACTGAAAGTATGTCCTCTGCTTCTACGATACCAAAAAACCACTTCAAAAAGGGTAAAACTCTCAGAAGAAAACGGGGAGAAATTTCACGGTCCAGGCCTGGGAAATCAATGATCTCTTGGATGTCACTCCCAAAATGCCAGAAATAAAAACAAAACAAAACACAACAAAAAAGTCAAATAACTTTATGTTAAAAAGTTTCTATTGAAGAACCAGCAATCTGTGGAGATGTTTCAAATTATACATCTGATAGGCGTTTAGTATGCAAAATAAATACATATGGAAATCCTACAATTCAATGGCAATTTTTTGTTTTATTTTGTTATGTTTTCGGGACAGGGTTTCTCTGTGTAGCTTTGGAGTCTGTACTGGAACTCAGTCTGTGGTCCAGGCTGGCCTCCAACTCACAGAGTTCGCCTGCCTCTGCCTCCCCAGTGCTGGGGTTAAAGGAGTGATCCACCACCACCCACACAATGGCAAAATTTTAATAACCTTATTTAAAGTGGACAAAGTCTAGGACAAGCATTTGTTCAACCCATACATATGAATAGCAGCGGGCATGTGGGAAACACTGCACATCATCAGAAAGACGCCCATTAAAAACCATCAGGGAACATCACCCCAAACCTCATAAACTGGCAACCAACAAAACCAAGAGATAAGAGTTGAGGAGGAGGTGGAGAAACTGGAACCCTCAGGCAGCGGTAATGGAAGTTGCACCCTTATCAGGGTGCCTAAGTCTGGGTTACTGCCTAGTGTTTGTAGCCTTTACACAGCTATGGGTTCAGTGCAATACTGTGGGCGGGGAGTAGGAAATACTCAAGTCTTAATTGGCTAAGAAGCTGGGACAGAACTGTGTGTATGGCTTTTGTTTCTGGGGGTGATTGTTTGGTTTTGTGTGTGTGCGTGCGCGCATTTGTGTGAGCTTGGCACAGCACTCAAGTGGAGCTCAAACGACAGTTTGCAGAGTCAGTTCTGCCATCACAAGAGTCCTGAAGATGCTAACTGAAGGTTAGCAAACTTAACAGTAACTCCCTGGCTCATCTCTTGGACCCTGCTATGTTTTGAGACAGGGTCTCAAATCCCCAGCCTGGCCTTGGATTTCTGGTCTCTCTGATCTTCCTCCCAAGTTCTGGGATGGCGGGAACACACCACCACTCAGGACCAGGTCTCAGACCCAGGGCTTGATGCAAGCCAAACAAGTATTCTACAAACTGGGCCACATCTCTGCCCCCTGTGTGTGTTTTACTAGGCACTGCAGATGATTCTGGTAGCCCCTCTGTCTGAACTTAACCATGGTTTGTCCCAGAACACAGGTAGTCTTTATCTGTCTGAGGGGAACAACTAAAGGCTCCTTTTATTTCCTCAGAGAAATTCCTTTTTACGTCTTGTTTAAATTCATCTCTACTCGCTACAGGAAGCTTTCCCAGCCTGGAAGAAGTGGTTTGAGTCTCTCCCACCATCTCAAAAGATCCACGTCTCCCGGCTCTCACCCTAGAATCTCACACAGGACATTCGCATTGTTAAAGGGCAAATAAATAAATACAGAAAACCCCAAAGCATGACTTCAAACCAACCACAGAAACACTTGGTGTGTGTTTGGACAGCATGCGGATAAATATTTGACATGTTTGTTTTACTGTTTTAGAGCTCAGATTCTGCACTAAAGAAACCATGATCATACACAGTTTGCAAACAAAGATGTCAAACATAGGTTTAAGTGCTGGGAAATAGCAAAGAGTCTCCCACGCCGTGATTCACCTCATCATCCACTGAAGATGGGTTGGGATTAATTGGTGTTGGTGCCATTGCTTCCCTTTACAGCTGATATCAGACCCCAGGTCCCCGATGGTCCTTTTGACTTTGCAGGGAAGGGTTGAAAGCTGTTACCCACATTCCCATGGCCACTTCCCAGTGGCGCTCTTTGCTTCTGGCTTAGCTTTCTCTGGGAAGAAAAACTGGGAAGAACTTTCTTGGTACTGAGCCACGCTCCCATCTGGGATAAAGATTAAGAAAGAGGAAGGAGCTTTTGTTGTGCTTATAAATGCCAGATGCCGCCACATGCATGGCCCTATGGATCCCTGGTGCTTACTTCAAACGTTTGCTTTGAAAACATCCTCTCTGAGGAATGCTCTGGTAACCATCAGGAGTCAGAGGAGTGGCCCGCTGCCCTTGCCAGCACTTACTAAAAGATTGCCACCGATAGATTAAAGGGAATCCCTTGGCCTTGGGGTGGTTTATCAACTTTCACAGAGTTTCCCACACGGAAGATGTCCACAGCCGTGAAAGGCATGGGAATCACTAGAGGCCATCACGTGGGCTTCAGGCCAGCAGCATAGAAACCCCCAACAAGGAAAGGCATTTCACTGCCAGTGTCGACTTTCGGGAAACCACTGTTACTGTAAGTCAGATAGCTCTTTGGTCATTTTTGATTACAGAGTAAACCAAACAACTCTTTGATCATTTTTTATTACCGAATTTGAAGGAGAACCAAGAGTTCAAAGCTGAGAGAAATGAGGGAGGGGCAAGAGATGTGGTTCAGTTGGTACCAGGACATGAAGT